TTGTGGGTGTCGAGTTGATGTTGCCTCTGTTGGTAACAATAATAATAATTTTTAAAATGCATTAGCAATGTTGCAGTTCATTTTTCAATTAAATTAATGTGATAATGTTGATGTTGAAAAAAAATTTTGTTTAAAACGTAAATTTTGCTGTTGTTGATGTTGTTTGGTTGTTGATGGATAATTTGTGATTAACTCATTAGTGTTAAAAATAGCATAATGACATTAATGTTGATGTCATGAGGGTAACATTGATGGGTTTGTACTAACTCTAGAATGATGATGTTAATGTTGAATTTAATACAACAACGATGAAATGATGTTGAAGTGTCGGTGTTAATTTTGATGGTAATTCATCTGATCTGTTGATGCTAATGTTTCTATTCATTAGCGTCCCGTTCTTCACTGGCTATTTCATTTATTCAATTATTTATTCATTCATTCATTCACTTACTCAATTACTCGCTCACTCATTTAGTTGCTCACTCGCTCACTCGCTCACTCACTCACTCACTCACTCACTCACTCACTCACTCACTCACTCACTCACTCACTCACTCACTCACTCACTCACTCACTCACTCACTCACTCACTCACTCACTCACTCACTCACTCACTCTCACTCACTCACTCACTCTCACTCACTCACTCTCCCTCACTCACTCACTCACTCTCACTCACTCACTCTCCCTCACTCACTCACTCACTCACTACTCACTCACTCACTCGCTCACTCACTCGCTCACTCACTTGAAGAAATGAAGCAGCGATAGGCACTTAACTGTCAGTTTCATGTTGATACGTAGTAGCTGTAAAACATAACCGAGAGTGAATGCCATGCAAATACGCTAACTAATAAACCCATTGCAAATGAATGTCCCAGATACTAATCAACATTTCCCATGTGTATCTCCTTTCACTCTGTTAACTATTTTTTTCACTTTGTAATGCTGTCTTGTATGTTTCTGTCAGATTCGGATTTTTTGAAAAAAATTTTAAAAGTTTTAAATTAAAACCTCATTCAATATAAACGATTTTCATGCGAAAACCAATCGAGGAGCTTTAGAAGCATCATTATGAACAGTGTTGTTAAGATACTCAGATGTTTGTATTCAAATCCTCTGCGAATACTTAGTAAAAATGCAACATTTAAATAGTATTTGCATAACAGGTACTGGAATTAGTATCTAAACACGGTCTACAAGCGATGCCATACAGTCTTCGTTTGATAAAATTTACACGGTTATTAAAAGAATTTACGTGCTGAATAAACGGATCAGACATCATTTTAGCGTATATGAGCAACAAAGGGCTAAAAGTTAGAGTGAATTAATAAGTAAGTAGATTACGATACGATACGATACGATACGATATTTTATTTGCTTCCAAACAGAGTTAAGAAGACAAGACAGATTGAAGATAAATAGAGCACAGCACGAAGAGATAACAAATGATTGATTAGCAACATTATTGTCAAAGTATATAAATTTGTTAATTACTACAAACTATCCCGAAGTTATTATATGCCGTTATAAATACTGCCTTTTAATTAAATAAATTAATTAATTGATTAAATTAATTAAATACACGTTTTGGAATTCACCGTATACATAATATACTGACTATAGCTATTAGTGCTACAATTTTTATTAATATTTTTATGTCTGAAGTTTCAATTTAAAAGTTTTTTAGTATTAATTTTGTTCTTCAAAAATAAAACCATCAATCAATCAATCAATCAATCAATCAATCAATCAATCAATCAATCAATCAATCAATCAATCAATCAATCAATCAATCAATCAATCAATCAATCAATCAATCAATCAATCAATCAATCAATCAATCAATCAATCAATCAATCAATCAATCAATCAATCAATCAATCAATCAATCAATCAATCAATCAATCAATCAATCAATCAATCAATCAATCAATCAATCAATCAATCAATCAATCAATCAATCAATCAATCAATCAATCAATCAATCAATCAATCAATCAATCAATCAATCAATCAATCAATCAATCAATCAATCAATCAATCAATCAATCAATCAATCAATCAATCAATCAATCAATCAATCAATCAATCAATCAATCAATCAATCAACCAACCAATCAATCAATCAATCAATCAATCAACCAATCAATCAATCAATCAATCAATCAATCAATCAATCATTTAAGAACCAACCAATCAATCAATCAATCAATCAATCAATCAATCAATCAACCAATCAATCAATCAATCAATCAATCAATCAATCAATCAATCAATCAATCAATCAATCAATCAATCAATCATTTAAGAACCAACGTTCTTCCATCCAATCTAACGTAATTTTTGAAAATATGTTTCACTTTCATTCTGTCATGTGCATGCAGCAAAACATCAAGCGAGTGCCAGCACTATTCACTTCGCCACAACCATCCAAATAATGTATCACGTTACTTCTTCAGGTGCTCCTATGGTCAGGAAAGGTTGAATTCGTGTGGATGTAAATAATTAATTGTCACTGTTGACAAAACCTGCAAAATGTCCTTGTTACATATCAATAACAACAGCAGCAACAACAACATCAACAACGACATTTACGACGCACTTCACTGCAGAAACATTAGCAACATATTTAAGATTCACAACATCTGCAACGAAGGAGTCCACAGTGACATCAACAACAACAACATCAAAATTAATAACAACAATTGCAACTACTATATTAGCGACAACGCTAACAATAATAATTGTAACAACAATTTAAAGAACAATATCAGCAACAACATCAACAACAGCAAAAACAACATCAACATAATTAACAACAACAACTCCAGCCCAAAAGACAACAACCTTCCAAATATTGGACATCCGATAAATTGTGAACATTCACAAATCAAAATGAACGAATGTTTGGAAGTTGACAAAACAATCTCGCCACCGCATTCCACCTTGCAAGCACATCAGCACAAACTCACAACATCTTGGTGGAACTATTACCACAACCTTTACATCAGCTGGTACAGGATGACCTTCAACCCAAACATAACTTTCAACACGAACTTTGACCCAGAAGTTTTCAACAAACTGATACCTGTGTCACCGTTGTATTCCAATGGAGTGTCAAGTTTTGACATATATCGAAAGAGTTCCGATGAAAGTCGATGCAACAATTTTTGCGATGACCGGTATAACGAATGCAGTCGGTTCAATTATCGAGTATCAGGTGAGTGCGGCGATGAAATTTGCAAGCTGCGAACTTTTTATAACCACCAATCGAACCGAAGACCAACAACAATGTTCCCACCTAACTTCATTAGCTCCGAAACCTCACAAACTCAATTAGGTAATCTTAATGACAATCACATTCACAACAACAAAAATGATATTAGAGAAACACCGAAAAAAAAGCACAGTCGTTTTTCCAACAAACCAGTCAACTGGATGCTTCCAGATGAAACCGCTACCACCACCACCACCACAACAACAACATCAACAACACCATCAACAAAAACATCAGCAGCAACATCAATAACAACAACATCAATAACAACAACATTACCGTTACCAGCGAGTAACGTAGAGCACAAAGAAACGAATGAAGGAAATGATGAAATGAAACAATGCAAAGAAATGAAGATAAAATCTCATCAAACTCTCCCACTTTTGCCACTCGTATACTTCAAAGATAACCAACCTGTCGCCACCCATCCTCGCGACATCTACCACCAGTGGTCCTTGCCGCTTCACGCCGACGTTCCTCCCTCCCGACATCCTTACATCAGGCCGGCAAATAATTATTACTCTAACGGCTACCTTTTAAAAGAAAATTTTGCAAAAGCGATCGACACTTCAAAATCGGAGTACAACTATTTTCTTCCTACATCATCGTCATCATCATCAGCAGTAGCATTCTTATCGTCCTCTTCATCATTGCTAGCAACGACTTCGCCACTTGTCTCCCAACGACGAGTTCCAGATTGTTCCAACTCACCTCAGCCAGCAAGCAGCCATATGGAGCACTTTGGAAATTCGACATCAAAACATTCACCTCCTCCGAGGTTTCACTGCGATGCTTGCAACAAAAGTTACTCCACCTACAACGGCCTCTCCAAACACAAGGAGTTCCACTGCTCCAGATACGTCAAAAAACAGTTCACATGTCCCCACTGCGAATGCAAATCCTACGCCAGCCTGGGGGCCTTAAAAATGCACATCCGAACACACACGCTGCCCTGCAAGTGCAAGTTATGTGGGAAGGCCTTCTCCCGACCCTGGTTGCTTCAGGGGCATCTGAGAACGCACACGGGGGAGCGACCCTTCGGCTGTCCCCACTGTTGCAGGGCCTTTGCTGACCGCAGCAACTTGAGGGCCCACATGCAGACGCACAGTGATGTTAAGAAGTACAACTGCAACAAGTGCGGCAAAACGTTTTCAAGGATGTCCTTACTGCACAAACACCGAGAAAATAATATCTGCTGATGATGATGATTGCATCATTTGTTTGTTTGCTTTTATTAACTATTTAACTGCTAAATAACATTAATGTTCACGGAATTGTGAACGTCAGTGCCTTATAACAACGAAAATGCTCAGAAAAGCAGTTAATGTCATTTTTAACAACAATTTTTGGGCAGTGTAGCGGAAAAGTGCCTTGCACCGCTTATGCAGTGACCGAATTCGATTGCAAAGAGACTCCCGCCTGTACCATGCAATGTGTGTGAGGCCTTGTTTTACGTGTATTTACAATGCAATGTGTGTGTTTGTTGTTGACAGAGTGTCGGAGTAGTGGGATGAAAAATATCCCATTTCGGCCTCTCAAAAAATTCCCACTCCTTTCAGACTTCTACTCCGACTTGCAAAAATTTTTTCAACTTTTCCATCAAAATTAAAACTAACAAATAAAAAATACTTTAAAAATACTTAAAATGAGTTAATGTAATTGTTTTTCTTAGTAAAATTTTTTTTATTTTATGTTTTAAAACATACTGAAAAAATTATGGATTTTATTCACATTGTTAGCATTTATTTTCAGTATTAATTAAAGATGATTGCATATCGCTAAAGATGCTTATCTTTTAAAAAACACGATCTTGAAGAAATATTTTAGAAAAAAAGAAACTTTTTTTTAATTAATAACATTTTCAGGATGAAAAAATTCAACTCCGACACTCTTCATTGATGCCATTGAAAAAATTATGGAGAGAACTTTTATAAACAATGAAAATGTTGAAAGGAAAAATTTTTATTTTGGTCTTTTTATTGATTTTAATAAATTTAGTTAATTAACTTTACGATTATCATTTTTATTAATAATAATAATATTATCATTATGTTATTATTATTGCTATTATTATGTATGTCAATTGAAATTGTAATAAAAATCTCTAAAAATTAGTTTAAAAAGTTAATAAACCTTCAATGAACAAACAAATGAAATCGTTTCGTGATGCTGTTATTCAATGCTAATGATAAAAATTATGACGACGACGACGATGACGAAGATATAACTTCTTTGGAAAACTTAATACAAAATATCAAAATATAAAAACATATGAAACATAGCACAAACGATATATGAACTATTATATGCAATATGACCTATACAATATAGACAACAACAACAACAACTTACAACAAAGTAAAACAAAAATATCAACAACAACCTACCAACAACTACATACAAACAACAACTTACACCAAGACAAACAAAAACACATCATAAAACAATTGGCACAAAAGGACATGGAAAACTATGCGAAGTTTGTTTCTCTAGAGTAAGAGAGGGATATGATGTATTCAATGCAGGCAGGCATGGGGGAGGCAACTATTATGAGCAGATGAACGTAAGAGTTATGAGATGTTTAGATAGGTAGATGGATCGACGGATAGATGGATGAATGGATGTATCAATGAACCGATATTTCAATGAATGGATGGATGAATTGAAGCCTGGATTGATGAATGGATAGATAAATAGAATTATAGATAAAGGATAAAAGAATAGACAAAATGATGAATGAATTGTTGCCGGTTGATTTAATCAAATTAATTGATATACGAACGGATAGATAGATAGATACATAAATGGATAGATGGATGGATGGATTGATGGATGGATGGATGGATGGATGGATGGATAGATGGATGGATGGATGGATGGATGGAAGGATAAATGAATAAAAAAATAAAGTAGAAAATATAACAACATAACATATGATGGGAACAGGTGATGCTAAAATTTCCTTCCACTTCCCTTCAAACACGTGACCTCATTCAACTCATGAGAACGTGAGAAGATGAGCGTGCTTGATCAAGGAAATAACTATAAATATATATACATACATACATATATACATACATACATAAATACATACATACATACACACACACACACACATACATACATACATACATACATACATACATACATACATACATACATACATACATACATACATACATACATACATACATACATACATACATTTGTATATATGTGTGTGTTCTTTTGACTTTGCCGCTCCCAGCCATCTTTTTATTTATTTGTTTTCATTTGTTACTATTATTGTAATTTATTATTATTCCCACTGATGATAATGATAATAATAACGAAACGAAAAAGGGTATCTGAAGTAGTTGCTTTGATTGTAGTAGTAGTAGTAGCAGTAGTAGTAGTAGTAGTGGTAATAGTAGTAGTAGTAGGAGTAGTAGTAGTAGTAGTTGTTGTTGTTGTAGAAGTAGTACTAATAGTAGTGGTTGTTGTAGTTGGTAGAGTGGTTGTTGTAGTAATAGTAGTAGTTGAAGTAGTAGTGACAATAAGCATAGTAGTTATTTGTTGTAGAAGCAGGAGTAGCAGTAGTAACCAGCGGTGGTAGTAGTATCATAGTAGTAATAGTAGTACAAGTAGTTTTGTGGCTGTTGCTATTTTTATAATAATAATGATAATTATTATTATTATTATAATTGTTATTAATATTATTATTATTGTTGTTGTCATATTAACATAAATAAATATAATGTAATATATTTTTTGATCGACTAACAAGACGAAGATGAAAGGACTTAACAAAACCTCAACCTGAGCGGTGAACACTGCCTTAGTTTCAGACAGACGTTGATTGCATCACAAACCTCACTGACGATTTTGTTTGCAAACTGCCTGACGAAGCAACGCTACCAAATTATTATTGAAAATGCCGGTTGTAAGAACGCGGGTAGCAGGCGAGTTCGACAAATGTTTGCTTCACAATGTGTGTGTGCTGGTGCTTCGACAAAAAAGGTTATGACAAACAAAATTGTATTGTTGAATTGAACATCAACTACAAACAACGACAAAAAAAAATTACTACCACTGCTGCTAATACTACAATTACTACTGCTACTACCACTACAACTACTACTGCTACTACCACTACCACTACTACTACCGCTACCACTACTACTGCTTCTACAACTACTAATAATAATAATACTCCTAATACCACCACCACTACTACTGCTACTACTAATAATGCTACTACTACTACTGCTAATAATAATACCTTTATACAACTATTACTACTACTACTACTACAAAACTAATTAGGATTACTGCCACTACGTGTTGTTATTGTTACTGTCATGCCACCAAAGTTATTTTTAATTCTACTGTTAATACTAGAACTAACTTACAATCATTATGCCTACTTTTATTGGTACTATACAACTAAAACATCAACAACAACAACAAATATTTATGTGCATTTATATATATATATATATATATATATATATATACGTTTAAATTTACATATGTAGTTTATAATGTATTAATATGTTTATAAACATATATTAATATTTATATTATTATAATGAATATCCTTTAAAAAATAACAAATGATTTAAATGATATATAAGATATAGTTATTAATGATGAGGATAATAATGATGATTATGATGATGATGAAGTAGATAGATGGTTAAGAATTTGTTTTTTTAAGAATTAGTTAAGAATTTAAAAATTGGGTAAGATTTTGATGATAACGACGAAAAAATGAAGATGATGAAGACGATGATGAGGATGAGGAAGAAGATACTGAGGAAAAAGAGGAAGAGGAAGATGGTGAAGAAGAAGATGAAGAATAGTAGGAAAATGATAATAGAGAGATGATGAGGACGATGAGGTCGAGGGTGATGAAAAAGAAGAATTGGAAAATGATAATAGAGAAAATGATGGAGAAGATTAAGAAGAAGATGAGGAAGAAGATGATGATGAATAGTAGAAAAATGATTATAGAGAAGATGATGGAAAAGATAATGAAGAAGATGATGAGGACGATGAGGTCGAGGGTGATGAAGAAGAAGAGTTGGGAAATGATAATAGAGAAGATGATGGAGAAGATTCAATCAATTCAATCAATCAATCAATTAGCTTATAAAGCGCTATTTCCGCGATGTTCAACAGCGCTCCTCAATGAATTTTGAAAACAGATGGGTCTTGAGATCCGCTCTGAACTTCGCAAGTGATGGAGAAATAGTTAGAGAAGTAGGTAGAGAGTTCCAGAGAAAAGGACCAGAAAAAGCAAAAGCAGATTTGGCAAAAGAGTGTTTAACACGAGTTAAGAAAAAGCGAGAAGAAGAAGACGATCGTAAACCGGGGCGTTTAGGTTCAATTAATATATCTGATAAGTACTTAGGAAATAATTTATATTGAGACTTATACATGAACGTGCAAATTTTAAAAATTATTCTATATTTTATAGGTAGCCAGTGCAAGAGAACAAGATATGGAGATATATGAGAAAAGAAAGGGGCACGAGCAACTAGACGAGCAGCAGAGTTAAAAGCTTTACTTAAAGGATAGAGTATAGAGTCAGGAAGACCATAGTAGAGCGAGTTACAATAATCAATCCTAGATAAGACTAACGAAGTAACAAGAAGGAGAAGAGTAGGATCATCAAGAAAAGGCAAAAGTTTTTTTATTCTACGTAGATGAAAGTAAGAGCTTCTAGCAACACTATTAATCTGAGAAGAGAGAGACATAGTAGAATCAAAGATAAAACCTAGACTACGAAACTTATGAGAGACATCA